TATATATATATAAATTAAATAAATAAGTGTTTTCAATAATAATGTGACAAATACTGTGTATTTAGTTTAATAAATAATGCATAATAAAGCTAGGTAAGGCTTCACTTTGCCTTCACTATGAAATTGACAGTGTTGCTTTTGGTTGTGCAGGACTCGGGGTCAACATCTATCCAAGCAGCAGACAGCACAGCCATCAATGGCAGCATAACACCCACAGACAAAAGGTATTAACACATCCTCACTGCTGAATTACACAACACCATTATCAAAATTACTTACTAAATTTAAGTGAAAATAAGAGCACAAGCTGATTTTATTACTTACATTTTAAAGGCTGTCTTAGATTTTACCTTAGACCACACAGTCAAATTAATGATAAATGTTCATTTCAGTGTTTGCTTGCCCATGTTTTGATTTGTTTGTTCTTTTTTGGGACTTTGCCCTCCAGGATAGGGTTCCTGGGTCTGGGGCTGATGGGTAGCGGGATAGTTTCCAACCTGTTGAAAATGGGTCATGTTGTCACAGTGTGGAACCGCACAGCAGAAAAGGTACTGTAATGCAACACACAGTCACCGTCACACAAGCAACGCTATCATTCAGTTTAAATTCATTACGCATACTGTGTCTGTTGAATGAGGTTCACACCATAGTATGATCATGTAGGTCTGTGTTGACATGCTGCAGCTGATTGACTATGAAATGACTCCTGTCTGCTGTATTCCAGTGTGACCTATTCATCCAGGAGGGAGCCAGGCTAGGCCGGACTCCTGCAGAGGTGGCGTCCATGTGTGACATCACTTTCTCCTGTGTGTCAGACCCAAAGGCTGCCAGGGATGTGAGTACCATCTCAACTACAGTAAATGGCTTCTGTGGATGTTTGAATCATTGAAAAAAGTTGTTTGTTGCTCTCCAGTTGGTGTTGGGACCCAGTGGAGTGCTGCAGGGAATCAGGCCAGGCAAATGCTACGTAGAAATGTCCACTGTAGACCCAGAGACCATCACAGAACTGTCACAGGTATACACTAACACAAAATAGCCAGAATACTTGCACAGTATAAAATAATGCACTATTAAAATAGGCATAGGCATCTTCTCCATCTGAAATATATATACAGTAGTAGCAGTTATCATTGGAGTAGTATACTGTAGTATTATTATATCAAATTGTTCAATGTTTGAATGTCAGGTGATCACGTCGCGGGGCGGCCGTTTCCTGGAGGCTCCGGTGGCGGGAAGCCAGCAGCTCTCCAACGATGGGATGTTAGTCATCCTGGCAGCTGGTGACAGAACAGTCTATGAGGACTGCAGCAGCTGCTTCCAGGCCATGGGCAAGACCTCCTTCTTCCTGGGTATGTAGGGGCTCAGATTGTTGTTCTTAGTGTCTGACAACATTATGGAAAGGATCCCTATGGAGATAGACCTCTTGTTTGTCCAGAAACAGCCGTAATATCTCTTTCACCACCAGACTACATATTCAAAAACGCTAATTTTATGTCACAAAACTAACTACATTGAGTGCTGCTCTGGTGTGGGAGCCTGTTAGTTTCTAATTGTTGTAGAAATGCATTCAGATATGAATGTTTTTTAAATCACTGCCCTCTGAGTGCCTCAGATTTCTTCAAGAATTCTAAATGCTAATTTTACCTTGGTTTCAAGTGTTCTACTCAGCTGCACACGGACTAGACTGCGTAAACAAACCACAGAGAGGCTGTGATAGCAACACAGGCAGAGAGAGTGTGACACCATGACTCCACTGTATCTTTACATAGCTAATAGTTGTTTGCTGCTACATTAATGTTTTAAATTTCACATATATAACCTTTAAATACCAATTTAAGTTCTTAAATTGTACTTTGGTATCATGAAAAATTCTAAAGTTTTAAACAAGACCTTCTTCTTACCAGCTCTGACAGAAAGAATCAAGGCTCTTTGGTTTTATTCGTCTTATCGTTTTTTTCATTACATTCTATTTATTTAAAACCGATGCTTTTATCCACAGTGACTTACAATGATGCACTGCATTCAACCATGTGAATACAACCCAAAAACTGAAAGAATCATGCAAATGCATCAGTTTCACCAAATATGCTGAACTGCCTCAAGTGCTAGTTAGAAACAATAAGAGAAGAGAGAGATAAAGTGGGTTTGTGTTTTTTAACCTGTACCAGGAGCTGTCTGAATGAAGGAGTTTTCAGTCTGCGATGAAAGATGAGTTTCTGCTGACCTGATATTGATGCGGAGCTCGTCATTGTGGAGTCGGTACAGCAAACAGTCTGCAATTTGTTGAGCAGATTGTATTCTTGAATGTATTGGACTTTTTATCTCAATGTCGGAAAGATTGTAAGGACGCTGCTAAGTACTGTATGTCTGGAAAGGAATGATATTTAATGCAGTGACACTGAGTCCAAGAGAAAATTTCCCCCATGGGACAATGAATTATTTTTATCTTATCTTAACTTGTATGAAATTGTTTACTGGAAGGAGCCAGAGGAACATGAACAGGCCACACATTATCTGTCCCACGTACTACAGAATTATAGTGACAGTTTCAGCAAATATGTTTTTATAAAAGTTATCTACTGCAGCTTTAATGAGCAAACTTCATCAGTTCACCTATGCTTGCTGCACACAGATTTGCCACCAAAATTGTTAAACTATACCCAACACTGTGCATCACTCAGTATTAACTGAGGAAGTAATGTGTGCCAGATGGCAGTTGGCTCCTGAACACATCTATAGTGGGAACATCAGTCTGAATTACAGTACGGCTGTTTCAGGTCAGATCTGTGCTCTCTCTAAAGGGCCAGAGAGCCACTGCAACAGCTGATGTCAGTGACGTAAACTGCACACACACTCATGTTTACCTACAGGGACAGTCTGTGTCATACCGAAGGAGACTGAAGACGAGTGAATGAAAGCAAACACATTTGGTGAATCCAGCTTTCTCTGGATATGGTGCCGCTCACTGCTGGGAGTGAATGTGCAGCATGTCGGTGGGGTGGGGATGATTTTCTCTGTTGCAGTCTCATTTAGTGACTTAGGCTGATACATCAGGTGTATGTTTACATCAAAATGCTGTGTCGTGTAGCTTCAGTCCTGGCTCAGATTTGGATTCATGTTAATTAATTAATTAACCCTTAGGTGTTCCTCGGGAC